GGGCCTTTAGCAATGTGGTGATATGATGTGGAGATGGGGAAACATCCTTTAGTTCTAAACTTTGATCTCCAACTGTTAGTGAGCCTCTAAACAGTCCTCTTCCCGAGTGCTTCTCAATCTTTTCTCCTCACTTAGGTGGGGTAGGATGTTTGGAGGAGGTCAGAGTTGAGTATTTCCCTTCTCCCAGGTTGCTTAATACCTAACAGTTTATGCTCTGATACAATACTTTCTCTTTTGGACTGACCTTGTTAAAAAGAATGCTCTGGCCTATTTAAAAATGGCTCCTTTTCTCTCTCACTGCCAGAAGCACAATTGGATCGTTTTTTCCTTAGTACTGCGAAAGCTCAGTTGAGTTCCCCAAGATAAAACTCAAGAGTGTGGGAGCCTGACTATGTCCTGGTGGCCCTGGAGTTTTTAGCTCTCAGACTTGTCCCAGGTTTCTGCACAGGGGTTCCTGCCCTAGTGACTTGTAATTCTCAGTATTGGCATCTCCACCATTTAGAGGCACAGTTTTCCCTGTGACCACTCTCAAAAATCTGTGCCCTCTCTCAAAAATCTAAGAAGAGGTACTCATTTTTTTTCAGTTTGTTTAGCTTTTTACTCATTAGAAACAGAGTGGCAACTTCGAAGCTCCTTACCTGCCAGATTGGAAACTGAAAGTTGGGGTTTCTTTTTGGAGTGATGAAAATCCTCTGGAATTAGATAGGAATGATGGTGGGACAATTTCACAAATATACTGAAAAATCTACTGAATTGTATACTTTTCTAAAAAGTAAATTTTATGGTATATCAATTATATCTCACCAATAAATTATGGAAAAAATTGGCCAGAAATTTGAATGACCCTCACAAGTTTTCATTACCAATGATAAGGCAAATAGAAGCTTAAGCAGTGCTATTTTTTTAAAAAGCAGCACTAACATGTGGCTGTTGTTTTGTTTTTCAAAGCCTATGTTACAAACACAGTCCATCATGCAATGCTGCTGGGTGACAGGGCAGTTGTGATCCCATCAGTCTGCTTTTCTGCTCAAATGAAATACTGTTCACCTTTAGTCAACAGTATTGACTGCTAACTCTTTTTGTTCTTTCCTAGACAGGATTCAAGATGTAGAAGTCAGGCAGGCAGCAAGCCTTGTTATGAAACTATTCACAGATGACAGCTCCCTACCTATGGGCTTGAATAGGAGACCATGCAGCCTCCAAAGAAGCAGCTTAATAAAACTAAATGTGTTCAGAGCCCCAGTCACTTATTAGAAAAATGTTCCCCAAAGATGACTCAGGCCTTGGCTAGGAAACTAAAAAGATTATGGATTCCTCTGCAAGGAGGGCAGAGGAAATAAGAACAACAGGAAAGAAGGAACAGATTTACAGTGATAATCCTTGGGTGAAACAGAGGTGTCTCTCAATCTATAACTGTGCCTAAATCACCATGAAAGGAATATATGTTAAGCTTCAATTTTTTTTAAATCTTTCTGAGATTATTAAGGATTGGAGAAGACATGGACTGCAGATGGGATCATGAGTGAATCCACTAGTATAAGAGAGGAGAGGCAGAGGTTGGAGGATTAGGGCAGAGGCTGGCCATGGGGAAGGTTTTCAGTGTGTGCTGATTAAAGGCTGCATATGAAGGTTCAGAAACCAAACTGCCTGGATCTGAATCTTGCCTCTGTGATTTACTGGTTGGGTGATATTGGAGCAAGTTATATAATCTCTCAGACCTCAGTGTCCTTATTTATGAAATGAGGGAAAAAGAACTATTTTATAGGGTAGGTTTCTTAAGAAAGAAATGAATAACAATGAAAATAAAGCCACTGAAGAATTATATGCTGGGTGCAGTGGCACACACCTATAATCCCAGCAGCTTGGAAGGCTGAGGCAGGAGGATCTCAAGCTCAAAGCCAGCCTCAGCAAAACTGAGGTACTAAGCAACTCAGTGTGACCTTGACTCTAAATAAAATACAAAATAGGGCTAGGGATGTGGCTCAGTGGTTGAATATCCCTGAGTTCAATCCCTGGTACCGCCCACCCATAAAAAGAATTATACAATACATACACATATACACACGTCCATACCATGTGTAGCATGTGTTCACTTCTTGACACACACATAAATTAATAAAGGGATCATCAGATGAATTAAATCTGGGAAACAGATTTTTCTTGGTAAATTATGTTGTTACTAGCTCAAGTACTTAAGTCCAACATGTTGTTTTATAGATCACAGGAATAAAGAAAGAAAATATGGAGACTGGCAATAATTTTAACTTCATTGAGAAACTACCTTGATTCCAGAAGAATCCTTGATTACTGAGGAAAGAAATCCTGTGACCAAAAAAACCTAGTAGTGCCCATAACCTTACTGAATTTCAGTGTTGGCACAAGGCCAATCTTATCTCTAGAAGCTCAGCTTAAGCCTGCCTCTCTCTGCCACTTTTACTGTGTGTGGTGTGAGTAAGTATTTTCATTGTCACAGTATCTAATTTATTTGGCTGCCAAATTTCGAAATTACAATATAATATATAGTTTTATTTCCTTGGAAACTTTGTGAAATACAAAAAGGGAATGAGACCATCCAGTTAACAAAAAGAAATTAAATTAATATGAATGTTTAACAATTATCTAATTCAGAAGTGGATTATGGATGCATGTAATCATCTTGGCCATTTTCTTTCAACTGTTCTACTTCATTCCATTCTTTTCAGCAGTTTTCTGCCTTAGGGTATTATTATATCCTTGTCATGTGACGTGTGAAGAGATGGAGAAATATTTTTTAACACTATATCATATAAGTATTTGTTACAATTTAATCGCACTGAAAAAAATCTGGATTTCATTCCTACTCCATTTATTTCTTAGCTCAGATCAACATTTCAACTTGAACTTTGGTTTCCTCTTTTGTAAAATGGCAGTAATATCAGTCATTATACCCAATAAGCTATAATTATGGTCTTCTACTAAACTAAAAAATATATTTGTTCTTGGATTCAAGACAAACCAATGATTCCAAAGTCTGTATTTCTTTTTATCTTTATTTTATTTGTATGTGGTGCTGAGGATCGAACCCAGTGCCTCACACATACTAGGTGAGCACTCTACCTCTGAGCCACAACCCCTGCCCGTGAAATTTGTATTTAATGTGATCATTTATTCCTTCTTACACTGGTGCTGACCCTAGAAGACTTAACTACTTGCTCATTGTCATCTTTGGATAAAATAGAATTTACTGATCATTATTTATGTATAGTTGAGGAATCAGCAGCTTACACAACTGAGTGGAAATCCTTAAAATGGCCATCTCAGCAAATGTGCTGACAAAGAAGCACCTACATGTGGAGACTGTTCCCAAGTAGCAATTTGTTTCTATGGCACCTAAGTAGAGAAAGTCAGAATTGGTCCCTGAAAGCAGAAAAATATCAAGTAGTTAAGAATCCCACATTTAGGTAAGAAAAGGTGATGATATTTTCCAACAAACAGTTAAAGTTGGTTACAATTGTTTTTTTTTTTTTCTTTATTCATGTAACTAAAGGATATTCTTAGGCTATGATTTAATTTCATATTAACATTCAATGGAAAAAGTTAGATATTTGACTTACAAGGCTAATGACACGTTTCCAAGATCTACAATGTCACTTTTGCTTCAATGAGCAATGAAAATAATACAGTAGAAGAAAAAACACTTTCTTGGTAAAGAGGAATTTAGGAAGAAGTGATCAAGCAAACATCGGATGAGAATTCAATATGATCATAAATAGGAGAGAAGGAAGAAAATTTGGTCTTTCATTCATTCAATTTAGAATTACTTTTTGAAAAACTTCTAAGTACTTGGTCCTGTGCCATATGCACTGGGGATAGTCACATTAGATAATCCTTGCCTTCGAGAAACTTTCAATCCAGCAAGGCAGGGTGACTCTGTCAAAAGTGGTTCTACCAGAGTAGAAAATGTCTCATTTAGCAAGCTGAAACTGGGGCCGTGGGGACACTATGAGAGTCATGGCATGAGAAAAAAACACGAAGCTGAAGACAGAAACAGTAGATCCTGCTGTGCCCTCAGGAGAAGCAAAAACAATTTTAATAGAGAAAGTGTTTGCCCTTCTTTTAAATAAAATACATTTAATACTTTGTATAATACATTGAAAATATGACTTGTTCTTCAAAATGTCTTTTCTACAAATGATTCTGAGGCTAAACTGTGATCACTAGATACATGAAATTAAATATATCAAGGTGACACAACTACTCAGTCAGTACTCTATGTAGTGCATGATTCATAAACTCCACAAGTCACACAGTTTATACAAGTTAACATGGGCTATGAGAAGTGGTTAAGTATTCATCCCTGCTAGCTACAATGAATATCCTTTTAACATTGTCCCTTGGTGTCCTCTGCTTTGAAAGACGTACAGTGAAATTTAAAAGTGAGCGACTATTATAGGCACTGCTGTGAAGAAAATACATTGTAAGCTGGAAAAGCCTTTTGAATTATATGTTTATGCCAGAAAGCTTGACAAACACTGAACAGTCTGTAAGGAATGTAAAAACTCTTCACTCTCAATTCAAATGCGTATAATTTAATTATTTGTAGCAATATCAATTTACTTATTAAACTAATTATCCTGAAATGCTTTGGTTGTCAGGTTCCAAAATAGTTTTGAAATTAGGAAACTATTGTCCCACTGATTCTTGTGGGTGGTCCAAATCCCTATGATATTCACACCTGAAAAGCATTTTGTGTAATCTCATCTTAATTTAAGTGATACTTCATTAGGAGGAGCAAAGTAACTTCTCTTAAAAAAAAGATTAAAAAAAGCAGATCACTCCTGATTAATTTCACCTCTTTTTTGGTTCAACATCCTGAATGTAGATTTTTTTGCATGCTGTCACCTCTGTTTCAGACTAAAATGACACCTATCATTAAAGAAGGGTGGCTCAATCTAGTGACACTCAGAATGGCCCAATGTAATGAAGGTATCAGTCGCTAGGGCTTCTGAAATTGGTTCAGAGTTATACTTCAGAGAAACTTCATTCCAATAAATATAGTCTTAAAAGTTGTTAAATGCATAATTCCACAAAAAGCACTTGAAGAAAGTCTGGTCAATATGATTACCAGGAGATGCCAAAACCCATACATTTTGTTCCAAATGTAATCATGACAACCATAACAAAAGCAGTAAAATGCAAGACAGGGAAATCTCAGTCTTTCTTAAATGACTTTAGTCCTGTTACATGGAGAACAGGTAATGAAAGTATACATGTCTGGCTACACTTGCTTTTAAGCAGATATCTTCCGGGACCATACACTCCAAGGAGTTTCAGATTTTTTCATTATCATCATTATTGATTTTTTTAAATGCAACTGGGCTTGCTTGTTTCAAAGAAGTCTTAGAAACATCTGTGTGCATGGTGGACATGGCTATTGTCTCATAGTCATCATCCCGAGACCGGAAATCACAAAAATTAAAGAAGAACTGCAAGTCTCTCTGGAAGTTTTTGTTCAGGAATCCATAAAATACAGGGTTGACGCAGGTGGATATCATTGCCGTGAGGTGGCAGAGCAGGAATAACAGATTGTGGTTGCACGTAGCAATGATCTGATGATTCCAATCAAACACAGTGTTAAAGATGGTGAGAGGCAGCCAGCAGACTGCAAATGCTACCACGATGGACAGCAGCATGATGTTGATTCTTTTGGTTTCACTTGACCTGTATTTATTGTCTCTCATCTTGTCCATCATGTTATTTCTCCTTTTTAAGCGAATGTATATCTGTAAAGGAACAAAGAATGAGTTCAATAGAACCACTTGTTGAATGAGGAATTTCTTTGCCAAGAAGTAAAAAAGGGAGATGATAGGGAGGAAAGATTTTCTTACCTTGAAGTAGCATATAAATATAAAGCAGAGTGGGCCAAAGTACTGCAGCACCAAGAGGAGAGTAGTGTAAGACAACCTATGAGAGTCCGAGGGAAATTTATCAAAGCACACATACTTGTCTTTGAATGCATCAAGCGTTACATTTTGGAATGGTTCATCGGTCAAGACTTGATAGATCAGGAAAGGCAGAGAAGAAGCCACAGCAAGGACCCAAATGACAGCAATACCTATGTAAGCATGTCTATTACTTGGTCTCCACCCTCGTGGGTTGATTATCAGCTGATGGCGTTCCACAGCAATGAGAACCAGAGAGAAAATGGACACCGTGATGGAAACACACTGCACAAAAGGATTCAGCTTGCACATTGTCTCACCGAAGACCCAGTGGTCCATCAGCGTGTACACAAACGTGAACGGGAGACACATGATGGCGACGAGCAAGTCTGAGAAGGAAAGGTTCACAATCAGGATGTTGGTGACATTCCTCATCTCTTTCTGCTTCAAGATGATTATGATCAAAGCCAGGTTTCCAGAGACCCCAAGAATGATTACAGCTCCATAAGCAAGAGCTAAGGTAAATATCACAGCCAAGGGCAGGTGACAATCATCGTTTTCAAAAGCCAAAAATGGGGAACTCTCCTCTGACAAATTATAGTGCACTGAATGATTTTCAACCTGAGAAAGTAATGTTGAATTCATTTTGATTGGGTTAGTTTTTACAGATTGCACAAGAGAACAGTATGTTTCTTCAAAGCAGGTCAACTGTTCAGCTTATTCTTATGTTCCATATTGGAATCCATTTACCACAATTATTCTGAATTCTTCATTCCCTTGAACTGAACAATCTGTAAAGAGAAAATGATCAATTGCATTACAAATTTTATTGAGGGTAGTCAAAATATAATTCTGATGCATAGTACTCTTTAATGTGAAGACACTGAAATAAGTAAACAAAATGTAATTTTGTAAATATATTTTTTAAATAGCAGAGGCCAAGCAGACATTTTGAATTTTTAAAAACCTGGAAATATTTTTAATTGTTTCTGCTTATACATTGAATGTCAGTGGTCTACATGTTAGTAAGGTGTACATAAACTTCATGCCTCCAAAAATTTTATACAACTACTATCAGCATACCCCTAAACATAGTGAGAATGCAAATGTGTAACAACTTAAAGCACAGATTAAAACAGAAAATATGGAACAAGCAAAGCAAAAGAACAACAAAAATACATAGTTTTTTCCTCCTACTATAGAAATGAATGGATTAGTGTAGAGGTCTAAAGTAGCAATAACTCAACATATACTGGGGTGCTTCTTATAGCAGAAATTATTTAGCACAAGTATACTCAAAATGAGATCATTTTTTTTGTTCCAATTAGTTATACATTACAGCAGAATGCATTTTGACTCATTGTATACAATGGAGCTCAATTTTTTCATATCAGACAGAACATTTGTAAAACTTTATCATATGAGGTACTGTTGAAAGACCAGATGACGCTTAATGCAGAAAAATAATGGTAAAACTGCCATTTCATATTTTAATTGTGGTCTATAGAAAATAGGGAACCACTTGGAGAATGTTATGTCTACTATACAACTTAGAGGTAGGACTAAGGGATGCATGCTAAATTTTTTATAAGATCACATCATTACAAAAAACAAAACTTCAATCAAATGAAATATACCATCTGCAAAGCAGCAGGTACTCCATGCATAAAAGTTTATAAGCACTACATGAAAGGGCACTTTGAGAAGTTCTTGCATTGCGCAGGAGACTCTAAGCCTCTATAATGGTTATTAATATATCAGAAGCTTTCAAAGAATTTCTAAGGTTTTATCCATGTCAGTATCCCCCCTTTCCTACAAGACTTATGTGTCTCCAGGGGAAGGGTCTAGATGTTAGTTATAATATCAACTGTAATCACACTCTTCCTCTTGAGAATTCAAAAGGCAGAGAGAATGACTGGTAAAAATGTCAGTTAGAATGTGACAACAAATCTTGAAGAGGCAGCCAATTATTTGTGATATATACATTCTTCTCTTCTTACCAAGACAAATCGTAGACAATAGTCTTGTATAGAGGTTCAAAGCTAATTTTTTTAAAAAATATCTGATTTCTCCTAGATTACTAAGTAAGTTTCTAAGATGAGATTTCTTAAGTTAACTAACAGTTCTTCATGCCTGTGTTGAGAAACTGAATTGCATTTCTTTCTTACATAAGAAAAACAAAGAATATTGCATAAATTTACTTCCATTGAAAGAAAAATAAGAATGTATTAAAATGTATTTGCCTTTTATATGATGCCTTTAGTAAACCTTTCCTTCAGTGCTTTTGTTTTTTAGAATATGGGGTGGTTTTCTATTATGAAACTGCAATTTGGCCTTATAAAACTGAAGAAGGTAAAAATAAAGGTTGTTATCACTAAGTAAAAAGAAAGCATTAAGGCATGGTAATGGAATGATGTTGCATGTGGACATCATGACAAACACTGCTCTCTCTTCCTCTATGCACAACCTATTACTTAAGGGGTAATTACACTTGTTCTCTTAAGAATTGCAAAAGCAGTGAGCATGACCACTTAATGTCATTTGGAATGAGAGAACAAGCCTGGAAGAAGCAGGTAATATTTTTTAAAAAATATTTATTTTTTAGTTGTAGTTGGACACAATACCTTTATTTTATTTTGTTTTTTTTTTTTTTATGTGATGCTGAGGATCGAACCCAGGGCCTCGCACATGCTAGGTGAGTGCTCTACCGCTGAGCCACAACCCCAGCCCTGAAGCAGGTAATAATTTTAGTTTTGAAATCTCGTAATTCTTAGAGATTTCAAGAAAGTTTAGCATCATATTTTGTATTCAGGTTACTATAGAGATCTTTAACATTGCTTATCAGTTATGAATTTTCATTATTTAAAGTAACACTTGCACAGTAGCTAAGTGTGTCCTCATTATCTATGATTTCTCGCGGCTCCCTGTTGCCAAATTCCACCATGAATGAGGATGCTGGTATGGGAGTCATGAGGCATGGACTATTGAGTGTATTCCTCAGCCTGGCATTAAAGACCTCTATGTTAATTAAGCCTTCCTTCCACTCTTTGTTCTAATAACCCCAATGTGAATGCTCTGTTCTGGGCAGGCCAAATGATTCACAATTCTCAAATATAACTCTGTCTTCACATATAGCTCTTCCATTCCTCTTCTTGAGTGTTGTCTCCCATCACCAATCCAAATTCTACCCACCCTTGAAAGCACCTTTAGTCCCTTGAAGCCTTAATTGGTGCCCATCCATTTCAATATAACATCTGTGAGGGTTGACATTGTGCATATTTCATAGTACCTTGAAATATTAGATTTAGAATAAAAATGTTGACTGATAGATGTAGAGATGGAATAGTAGGTTTTTGTATAAATTAATCTTACAGCAATGGCTCAATCTATCATCATCCTTTTGCATCCAAAATGAATGTTAGTTACAATTATCATTCTGTTAGGTCAAGTACAAAGTAGAGAATGTTACACTTTGTATAAAAAAGGAATTGTTTATGAAAGAATTTTCATTTTTCCAATGAATAATTATGTAATACTTATTTTGTCAGATATGGATTTAGTAGAGAGAACAGTGATCCTTTCATTGCACTTCAAATCTGATGGACAGAAAAAGACAAGAGAAAAATAAATTAATAAAAGGTATAGTATGCTAGATGATAATAAGTTCTAAGGAGAACAATAGATAGGGGAAGGGAAACTGGGATTGTCAGGAATTACAATTTATTTCTGGGTGGTAGAAAAAGGCCTCTACTTGCCTAAGAAAACGGCATGTAAATTAAGACCTAAGAAAGGTGAGTAAGGAAGCCATGTAGATATCACAGGGACATTTAAAAAGGGAAAGAAAAGATGTAGAGAAATTTGTTAGGGGCTAATTTAATAATCTAGACAGGAGTTTATGGGGGTATAGGTGAAGGTGTTTGAAATGGATAGGAAGAAAAAAGAAATTTTATATCAGCTGACTTACTTTGACAATTATGGGAATTTGTGCAAACACTTATTAAATTATTTCAATCTATGGGCTACAAAGAGACTTCTTACAGAAGAGTTTAGGTAAATATATTAAAACTCTACTCAGATACCTTTGAAATTATATTTGATATACATGCCCTACAGAAAATAGAGGTTTTCCTATTCAGTAGAAGGTAATCTAGCTATACAGAAAATGAAAACTTTTAAAAAAGTGTTTCTAAGCTTCTTCTGCTAAGTGTAGGGTTGTTAGCCATTCCACTTGGGTAAATGAGTTTGCATTGGATAAAATGCATATTTTGTTTACCTTCATATAATTACCAGAAAAATAATTTGTATTAGATAATAGTCTTAAAAGAAAGTTAACATACCTTATCTTTGCAAAAGTAAACAATACATTTCTATTCCAATATATATTTATAAAATAAGCTACAACTACAGACATTGCAAAGCTTAGTGAGACTGTTAAATTTAGCTGTGGTGTACCTTTAGAAACCAAATAGAGACCTACAAACATAACCATTTGGCAAATTAGGCCCCTTACTGAGGGAAATTCCCTTATCCTTCTTTTCAAATAAAACCCTGGCCTTTCACTGCCTGCTATTGGCAGTGTTATTCCCATCTGAAAATACAGCTGTCTGGGCATAACCTGCTGCAAATGTATTTCAAATACCCGGATTGTCTGTTCACCACAACTGTTTTGGAAAAGAAATGTCAGTTGTGTTACACACAGCCCCTGAAAGTTACTGCTAGCTTATCTAAACGAATTACATAATTCTCCTGCCTTCCCTGAGTGAGGAGAGAGCTTGTTCAACAGACAGCTGCCTTAAGACACTAAGAAAGCCTAATATTAAGAGAGTAGCCAGGAAAAGTGCTCAGTCTTTAGCCACGGGCTGGGAACTGGGTCCCAGAGCTGTCTATTCTCTCTTGTTTCACCAGAGAACCTGCTCAGGGTCTTGGGAAATGAGGGCTACTGTTCTCAGGTCCAGTGCAGAGAGGAGAACTCTGCACTAGCTCCTGCCTGTGTGTGTCAACCCTGAGCTACGCTTTCTCAGAGGATCCAGGTGGGCATGGCAAAGGAACATAGAAACATACTCCCTCTCCTCGCTTCTCTAGGTTTTCCTGTGCTCTAGGAGTTACCAAAGAATGAAATGGTATATGTTCAAAATTTCTGTGGCAGGCTTAACCGCCCACCCTTCTCATATTGTGTAACTAGGCGAATTGCCTGGCTCTTCCCTTCTATTCCTGACCCGCTATACACACACACACACACACACACACACACACACACACACACCATGGCCAAACCCTAAGTCATGTCTCTCCTTAGCCCAATATCCGTCTTTAAAACATTCTCATCTCTGCATTCCATCTGGGGACCAACAGGACACTTACTAAGCCACCTCCACGTAGGTCCATCCTTAATCTTCTATCCCAGCATGTTCGCACATTACTGGTCTAGAAGAAGAAGCTAAAGAAAGAGTTCCACGATTAAAACTCTGAAATATTAGGACAGGGTTCAGGGTGTCTACCAGAGCGCAGCGACAGATTGAAGGGCCAACTACCGGGGGATGCAGGCTCTATTCCAGTCCAGACAAGTGGGGCAGGAGCTTCGGGATCCGAGCCCCAGGGGCCGGCAGGGGCCAACCGGAAAAGTGCTGCGGGACTGGCGCGAAGGCGCACTCCTCGCGGGGCCCAAGGGTTCAACGCACCCCAGCCCCTCTCCAAGGGAACGGCACAGCCGCCCCCGGCGGCGGATCAAGCCAGCTCCGGGGAAAGGCGAAAGCTGCGGGAGGTGCGGGGAGACCACGCAGGGCTCCTTCCCGCTCCCTCCCTCGGCCTTAAGAGAGCCCGAGGAGAGAAAACTTGGATCCCCGGCAGCAGGGCGCGGGGAAGCGCGAACTCGGGATAAGGTGCCCCCTCTTTGGCCAGCGTCGGCCCTCAGCCCTACGGCAGGAGTCCGGGAGCGGTCCGGTAATCTGGGGCATCCAGCCACCTGCCCGCGCTGGACACCAAAGCAAAAGGCTGACTCCGCGCCGCACCTCGGTCCGCACAACCAGTTTGCAGCCCTCACATCCTTTCCCTTCCTCTCTCATCCGTCGCCCCGTCAGTGAGAGATTTCTCAAAAGTCCTCTAAAAAGCGTAAACTTGAAACTTACCCTCTTTCGAATTCGTCTTTTTTTTGCCCCTGTTTATTAAAGCGAGAAGGGAGTCATGGAAAGGAGCAGAGAGGGGAGGAAAGATCCTCTGGTATTTCTCCTGCTCAAATCCTAAAGATTGGTGAAGATAGGAGGGGACGCCCCCTTAAAGCAGAACTCCACCTCATCCCGATCACGTGACGGCGCCCCGCGGGGAGCGCCGGAGGCTCCCCCACGCCCCCAACACCTCACCTTGGATATACACCTCGAAGGTGCGTTGCCTAGGAATTCTGGAGAGAAAGACAATCAACCTAAACACACGCTGTCAGACACACGCACCGTGCCACCGTGCAGGGGGAAGCGAGCCCCCATCCCCACACAGTCCTTGACTCCGAGTTGGCAAGGCAATTTTACAAGGCTTTAAAAAAGTCAGTGCCACCGTGATTTCTTTTGTTTGCAGGTCAGTGCCATCTTGTGGCCGAAGTCGTACTTGGTCTGAAAGCTCCAGCGTAAGCAGGGCTCTAGAATGAAAGGACTGGTTATTTACGGGAAGAGGAAACGTGTAATTCCCTGCAACGACGCCACTAATATGTTTTTTACTTTGTTTTCTGACGCTCAAATATTCCTCATACTGGTACACAAAATTTATTTTCTTAAGTTTCTACTTGAACAAAAAGAAGACCTTTAAAAGGCCAAACGAGCAAACCTTGGATGACAGTCTGCCTTTTTCACCCTCCTTCCTTTCTATTGAGAAAATAATACATCGACTTAGATTTGTTCCCATCGCCTAGCTGCTCTTTATAGTTTTGGGGCGCGGGCTCGATGAAGCGAACATTTCCCTTGTGGTCGCAAAGAGCCAGTGCAATTTCTTTGGTGCTTAATCCACCACAGTAAGGAACGTTATGAAGAAAAGAAGGTACAGAGAGGACTTCAATGGTGCAAGGTGGTGTTGGTAATTCAGGCTAACTACTCACACTGACTGAGATGCTTTACTTGTGTCTATTCCAGTTTTAAAGTCAAGATTGTATAATAAACACGCACACACACACACGTGATTTACTGATACAGATGACTGGAATGTCTTCCAAATTAAACTCAAAAAAAGTAAATGCCTTTCCAATAAAGGTACAGGCACTGCCCAAAATATGCATCACCTTCTGTCTTCAAACTAAAAGCAAAATTAATTTCAAAACAGATGGGATCACCTGAACTTTACACTGTTTGAAATGTTTTCTTTTTCTGATTTTCAACCTGAAAAAAAATTATTTGAAGTTCAATATAAACTCATTTATTTATATAGATAGTTATGCACACAATCTCTGGGAGTGACCCAACCCCCGAAAAGCTTTCTAAAGTATTTGTCACTATACCCACTTTTACATAGTTGGTAAAGGAGTATGACCAAGAATTAAAATTCTGTGATCATGCTGTAAATGTCTTATGTGTACACAATAACAGATGAGTATTCACTTGAAGATCCCACTTCTTGTTAAAGAGAGTAAAATGACAGACCCTAACTGATATCATTCTTACAGATATAATACACACACACTCACATACACCAAGGATGAAAACATAAATATAATTTAGGAATTTCAAAGCCTTTAAAGAGCGATAGCATACTTATTTGAGTTCATTATATTTCTATCCATCCTCTATCAACTCCACTCCATTAAGTCTTATGTTCTTGAAGTTTTCTTTAAAGCTTTTGATCATCATACTGGTTAGTTTTAGCCTATTGCAAGTATTTGAAATGAAATGATATAACTCTCTACTAAGAATATATTTCTATGTAAAATTCTTCATTGTTTCAGCAAATATTTTGGATTTGAGAATATAACTTGGACTCAGGTACTTTACTTTGTGTATATTCCATGCTAATAAAAAGGGCTTCACTAATATGGCCATTGTATTTTATCATTTTAATAACTCTTGTTTTGGGGGAGTATTGCACTAAGGCAAATCTATAAAGCTGCATTCTTGAGATATTAATGAAAAACAAATACTGATATTTGAAAGATTGTGTCAAAGCCCCTTTTTTACATGATAGTGATACAAAGAAAAGTTGTGAAAATTGAAAACAAAATTCTATAACTCTCTAGAAACATCATTTACTGAGGAGTCATTCCAATGTGTAAACTAGAGAAATTAGATATGGTATAATGGCCAAATACAGCATAAGATCCCCTTAAAATGTAATTTTTTTTTTGTACTGGGAATTGAACCCAATGGCACTTTACCAGTGAGCTACATCCCCAGCCCTTTTTTATTTTTTAATTGAAGCAGGGTCTTACTAAGGTGCTCAGGTTCTCACTAAATTGCTGAGGCTGGCCTCCAGTTTGTGAATCTTCTGCTTCAGTGTCCGCAGTTGCTGGGATTACAGGAGAGCACTACCATGCAGGGTGAGATCCTTGTACAATGTCATCTTTTTCTTTTTTTCTTTTTTTTAATTGTTTTTAGTTGTAAATAGACCCGATGCCTTCATTTTATTTATTTATTTTTATGTGGTGTTGAGGATCGAAGCCAGTACCTCACATGTCCTAGGTATGTTCTGGGGTTGTAGCTCTACCACTGAGCTACAACCCCAGCCTCTATAATGTAATTTTATGGGCGGTTTGAAATCAAGTAATCTGAGTTCCTCAGAAGCTATATGTTAAATTTCAAGGTCACTTACTTTTCTTCTTTTTAGTGAACTGTCAGTTGGATACTTCCCTATTTGGGTCTCAGACTAGATAAAACTTCACTGTTGCTAGGGAGAGAGAAATATTTTGAATTCTGTGTGTTTTCTTATAAAATTTCATAACAGCCTGACCTATAAACCATGACTAAGATAAATAAATTAATGATGTATCTTCATTTTCTCTTGAGCAACAGTCTTGCGCTGTCATTTGAACTGAAGGATATGATCTACTCATTAAATCAAAGCGAATCTTAGTTTTTATCATCTAATAAAATGGAAAATTTTTATAGTCTGGTTCAGGCTTTAAATTCCATGATCCAATTCTTGTTGTGATAAAACTACATTTCTCAGATAATTACTGTAGCTTAAACATTGTAATTACTTTATTAGTCTTATGATAAATTTCTGCTGCAAGGGTTAAAGTTTCTAAAATACTACTAGGCCCTAATACAGGGAAATTATCATAATTTATCATCCAGAATAATCCAGATAGGTATTAACACTCCACATGAAAAGTAAAATTGGAAGGAAGAAATTCCCCTGGGGTAGAGCTTACTATGAAGCACACTGCAAAATCAACTTACGGCCTACACATTGATTATGTGTTATTTTCCCATCTTTCTCTAAATTACTTACTGCATTTCTCTAAGTCGATGATGTCAAAGAATGTAAAATGAAAATGTTATTTTATGGAATAATATTGAAGTTATGAAACAATAAGAGAAGATGCTTTGGGAAAGCAATAGCATACCATCAGTTTTAAAGGAACTACAAAGTATTAAGATTTCTTTTTTAAAAGACCACATCTTAGCACTAATGCAATATAGCTGGTACATAGCTTTGACTAGATTGGTAACTACAATCAAGTAGTCAACACAATCATTTTATTCAATTGTATTTTGAGAAAAACAACAGAATAAATAACAATTAATTTAGTTAAAATATAAGTATACAAGTACCTAAACAAGCAACTCTCCATGTGTAGAAATTTCAAATATTTACAGATTTGTTCATGTGAAAAGAGAATACACTTCAATAAAGTTTTCATTTGGTCACATAGGCTACATATTTAAGTCATTTTTCAACACCATTGGAATAATATTCTAGAAAATTAAGGTCTTAAAATTAAATAAATATCCAAAAATTTTTCTTCAGGATTCATATTGTTAGACAAACTTTAGACATTCATCAAAGTGCAATGCCATGTTACAATAATTTAACATTATGTGTTCATTACATGATAAGATGAAAAAAGATTAACCATTGTTAGCGTTATTGCTTTTAATAATCATTATTACTCTTCCCTTCATATCTCCTGCCAAAGAGACAGGGTAGGAATAGCTGATGAGTAGGCCAAGCAAGCATGAATCCCCACTGGGCCCCACATCATCTATGACAAACATCTCTAACTGCTCATCATGCCCCCTACCCTGGCCCCCATCCCCATAATTCAGGCTTGGTCTTAAGATTCCTTCACAACACAGTACCTAAGGGAGCCCCTAGCAGTAGATCAGACCTGGCCTAGGAAGTGAAGTTGTGATAGGACGATTTTTCCCAAAGATAGGAGAAAGATTCCTTATATATATTTAAATAATATCACAAATGGGTACAGACTGGTCATTATTTTACTAAGAGAAATATCCTTTCTTTAGTCCTTTATTTAAGGTCTATTTGTTATTTTTTCCCAGAAGCATTTATGCTGCGCCCCTCCCCTGACTCAGGCAATGGCAAGGCCCTACTGAGGTGGATGGCGAAAGGCGTCCATCCTCTGGAGGAGCGCAGTATGTTTCTGGGAATGGGCTGGTTTGTTTTTGTATTCCTTTAATAAGTATAGTTGCGATTTTCCATATGACCATTAAGTATGAAGGAAAAAACGTGACTTTCCCAATTAATGCAACTACTTCTAAGAATAGATCTGTTTGCTCTAAATGCAATGATTCAGCTGTGGAGCGTAAATTGTTAATGTCTAATGAAAAACTCCCTGTATTCCTGTCAAGGAAGTTTTTGAGAAATTAAATTAAAATCTAGAGAAGAAAAATTAATGTTAAGAAGACAGATAAGTGCTTAGTACTGGGCAACTTGTTCTTGTTCCTGTGCACAATGGTTTGTGCTCTTTCTCTTGTTTGATTAAAATTAATAACAAGTCAACCACTTGCCGTAACCATGACACCGGTTCCAGTCAGTAAGTCAAGAAAGAATAGTCAAGGTATAGGCCAATAGTTTGGGACATTTCTAACTATTATTAAAAGTTAACTAAGCAGAAACAGCTCAAAGCAAAATGCGAACTGAAAGTACAAATTCTTGCTTATGCATAAGCCAAGATACATTCTTCTATTCTAATTGTAACTACATAATATTTTGTTTCTTTGAATAATGATTCCTGTTTTGTAACCACAAAGTACTGTGAGCCTGCCAAAATGAAAAGTATATATGATCAACTTCACAAGTAAAGATTGGGATTCAGCACCTTCA